CAATGTGATTAATGAGAGGCTAGGTTTTGTTGCTATCACTTTGTTCTTTTTGGTTTTGTTACTAGTTACTTTGGTCCATCCTGCTTTCTGTGGCACCTCCATTAGATGGACCTCTCTCAGAGTTTCCTGCAATTCTGGTCTTGTTTTTACAAACTCCCTTAGGTTCTGTTTTTCTGGGAATATCTTGATCTCTCCTTTACATTTGATGGACAATTTTGCTGGGTATAATATTCTTGGTAGACAGATGTGTTCTTTGAGTGTTCGATGTATGTCATTCCATTGTTTTCTTGCTTACATGGTTTCTTTTTTTATTAAATTTTATTAGTTTTAATGAACATTTACAGAGATTTTGGGTTTTCATTCATTCATTGTTGCACTGTTTTCTCCACCCTCATCCCCAGTTCGTTCTTCTTCCCCCCCCATGTCTGTTTTAATTGTCCAATTGCCAAAGCCACTTCTGATTAATCTCCTTTGTCAGTGTGTCCTTTGCCATTCCCTATCACTCCTCCCTGAGAGAGACTTCACCCTGATTCATAAGGAAAATGGGATGGCGTAGTCTCTTAGCTACTTCCTGCTGAAAAGGGACGCTGTGGGTTTCAGGGTGAATGTCTTCTCTCACTACTCTAAAGGGCCCCCTTGGCAGTAGGAAACACATAGACTATTATGGAGATTGATTTTGGAATTAAGATGCACTGTTATCAATTGTGCTTAGCTGTACGTGTTCATATCCTTGAAGATGTATCATGGAAGTGTTGCAGCCTAGAAGATACAAATTTAACTAACAAGTTAAAAGTGCATGAGTCAAACATTGAAAAGCACTAATATTCTGAGTAGAGGTTCTAATAGTGGCACAAATCAAGTTACAGAGGTAAGGTGGTTCCATTGCCATCCTTACTCTAACTTAATTCTTCTTTTTTTAATTTAAATGTGTTATTAATTTCAGTGAAAATTTACAGAGGCTTTGGATTTCCATTCATTCATTGTAGATTTGTCCCCTCCCAAGGCTCCCCCCCACCAGACATTACCCTCTTGGAAAAGTAAAAGAAAAGATTGCTTGCATGGTTTCTGCTAAGAAATCGACACTTAATCTTATTTGCTCTCCATTATAGGTTACTCTTTGTTTCTCCCTTGCTGCTTTCACAATTCTTTCCTTATCTTTGGTTCTGGGAAATTTTACTATGATGAGGTCTATTCTATATGGTGCTCTCTCAGTTTTTTTAAAATATATTCTCTTATTTTTCATTATGCCTGGAAAGTTTTTTTCTAATAATTCTTCCACAGCTTTTTTGGTGCCTTTACTTGCTTCTTCCTGTTCTGGAATTCCAATTATACACATGTTATTTTCCTTGATGGTGTCCCACATTATTCTTAGGTTTTCTTTTTCTTTACTTTTTGGTTCTGCTTTTTGTTCTAGCAGAACAGTGGTGACAATTCTATCTTCTATTTCACTGATTCTGTGTTCCATCTCTTCAACCCTGTTCGTGTGACCCTCCATCATGTTGACAACATCTGAAACACTGGTTCTTATATTTTGGATTGTGGTTTCTCGTTTTTTTTTCAGAGCCTCTAATGCCTCATTTGTTTGAGCTGCATTGTTTTGAGTTGTTTTTTAAGCTCCTCTTGGTTTTTGCGTATGGTGTCCTGTAATTCAAGTTTGTCTTTCGCCCATTGAAAATATTCAATCACAGTTCTTTTAAATTGTGTCAGAAAGTTTCATCAGACTTTCTGGCTTCAGGAAATCCATTGGTACTGTGTCACTTTTTTAGGTGACATCTTGCTTTGGGCTTGTGTAGGCCTGTTTCCTACACAACATTGCTGTGGTAGAGTATTTCATATCTGAGGCGATAGCAGGTTCTTGATCTGAAGTCACTGCTCTAGAAGAGGGTGGGACACCTACCCTTCTTGGGTTTCTTTCAGTTCAATAGAGAAAGGCCTGTGGAAGCAGCCTCCTCTATCCGACAACTGTCACGGTTAGGGTAGCCCAAAGTGCTCTGGGCTAAAGGCTGTTGATGAACTGGATGTGAGGAGACACAAGGCGGAGTGCAGATACCTGATTAGAAAACTAGGAAGCCTTGGTTTTCCCTTCAAGAATGAGCTCCAGCTGTCTCACTCCCTGCTGATTAAGCTTAAGGGGTCCCATGTGATCCAGCCAAACAGCAGTGAACCCTCCCACAGAGTACCTCATTCATGTTCCAGCGTTGTTCCTGGTGTGCTTCAGGAGCAGTGTTCTGGGCACCGGCCGGTGAGGATGGGACTAGAGTTCTGGGCTCACACTCACTCAGATACCAGCTTTTCTGCTCGCCCCGATGTGTCACTCCCTGGTGCAGGCATGACATCAGCAAGCAGCTGCCTGGTATATGCCAACAGTTGCTTTTGACTTCTCTCACTCAAACTCTAGCTGTCTCGCATCCTGCCGCATCTCACTGCTGTTCCATCTCCACTGCAGTTTCATCTCTGCTGCCATTCCCCACTCTTGCTTTTTTGTGGATGCCATTTACTTGATGCATTTCTTCCCCCACTCTTTAATTTTTAGTCTTTCTCCTCTTTTCTTTTTTTAAATTTTTTAATTTTGTGTGCGTGTACCGTCAAATCAGATCTGACTGGTACAGGAGGATATTGCACCTCCTTCTCCGGTAGAGCGTCTGGTGGATTCGAACCGTGTTCCTCTGGGATTGCAGTGCAGCTTCTTGCCACTAGGCCACCAGAGCTCCCCTTCCTCTTTTCTTAAATGTGTCTTTTATAGGCAATATATTGGTGGGCTTTTGCTTTTTTATCCATTCTGCTACTTTTTCTCTTAATTAGTGCATTTAAACCATTCATATTAAGTGTGAATACTGACAGGCCAGGTTTAATTGTTGCCATTTTACTGTGTTCCTTTTTCTGCTGTTGGTGGTTACTTTGGTCCATCCACTTTCCCTTGCTATACATTGGACTTCCCTTAGTAGTTCTTGTAGAGTTGGTCTTGTTTTCGTGAATTTCTTACGTTCCTGCTTTTCTGCAAATGACCTAATTTCTCCTTTGTATATAATGGACAGCTTTTATGGGTACAAGATCATTGGCTCGCAATTGAGCCCACACACACAGTTTTCTGTACATACCATCCCACTGTCTTCTTGCTCACATGGTTTCTGCTGAGAAGTCACAGCTTAATCTCATTGGTTCTCCTTTGTAGGTGACTCTTTGTTTCTTGCATGATTTTTAGTATTTTATTTTTATCTCTGATTTTGGAGAAGTTGAATATGCCATGTCTTGCTATTTCTTTTTAAGGTCTAGTCTGTTGGGATTCACTGAGCTTCTTCAATGTGTGTTTCCTCATTTTATGTGGAAAATTTTCTTCTACTACATCTTCCATAATTTTCTCATTGCTTCTTTCCCCCAGTTCTGGAATTCAAATCACATATGTCTTGTTCCCCTTGATGTCATTCCATATGATTCTAATGTTTTCTTCTTTTTCCTTCTGCTTACTCTCTATTTTTTTATTCTAGTAAGTTCTCCTTGAGGTTCTTTTTTTCTAATTCACTTCCATCTCTTCTCTTCTGCTTTTTCCTACCTCTGACATGTTGAAAAGTTCTGCATTATTGATCTTGATATTCCGAACAGTATTTTCATGTATTTCTGTTGTTTCAAGTACTGTGTAGGTTGTACCCTGTTTCTTGTAATAATTTTTTTAATTTGTTTCTCTTTACTTAAACTTCACATTGATGTATTTGTTCTGCCTCCCTGTCTCTGGGAAATTCATAGGATCTACAATCTTGTCTACTTTTTTAGGCGAAGGCTTCATTTGTTTCATCACAATGTCTGAACCTGCACCCTGTTTCACTGACATTATGCAAAGTTCTTGGTATATGTGAGGCTATTTTTGAGGTGTCTGTGTGGGTTGTTGTTGGTTCCTTATCTTTATAATACTATTGGAAGAATTGCAGATTCTATGTGTTGATCCTGATTTAGTTTCCCAGTGGTGATGATCTCTGCTGGTCATCTATGGGCAGCTCTGTTCTCTGTTTCCTATGGCAAGCTTCTCATCTGTTTGTTCTTGAAAGGATAGGGAGCTGGCCTACTTATATGTCCTGCAGCTTGATGGTAGGGTGCAGTTTTCCCCCAGGAGTGGGCAAAAATCCAAGAAGTGCTACTAGGGACACTCCCCTTCCCAACCCCAAGTCTCAGTAAGTACTAGTGGCTGTATCTGTCCTCTCCTGCAGCTGGTTGGGAGCAACTTTTTCTGCCTTAGCAGTCAAAGCCCATGGGGAGCTGGCAAGGTCCCCAGAAAGCCACCTGTGATATTTTCCTTCTCAAGTCTCAATAGATGCTGGTGGCCATACTTATGTCCTCCCTCTCCTTGGGCTTTTGTTTTTATATTTGAGCCAGATGGAAAACAGTATTGTTTTTACAGATATAATTCCTCCATCCTTGGAAAGTTGACCAGAGCTGTATAATGATCCCATTGTACTCCCTGACTTAATGCTTTTCCTGCAGTTGTAATACAGTAATTATTTCCAAACCCAGAACATCAGAATCACTTGGGAAGCTTATTAAAATGTTCATATCTGGACTCCATTCCTGGAAGCTACACATCTATAAGTTCTTGGAGGGGTCTGACACATGCATTTTAAACTACCTCCTAAGGTATTTCAGATAATCACCTGTCTAACTAGAAGATTTCTAAGGGAACTAATTTCTAAGAGATCTATTAATACTGTTACTTCATAATCTTGGGTTTTCAGAACATAGAATTTTATAGATTTTGCCCCCTAACCAAATGCAATAACTTAAAGGAACTCTGATGCCAAAGTCTGTATGGACTTGTGCTACCAAACTAAGGCTGCACTCTTGGAAACTGGAATCCACAATAGCTACAAGGAAGAAGGATTGACACTCTCTTCCTGTGCAATTTAGAGTCTTGGAAACTCAATGGAGTGTCAGTTATGAGTTAGTTACAACCCAACATGAATGAGTAAGTATTAACTTCCCTTTATCCTAATGTAAAAATGAGAAGTTGGTACCTGGAAATAAACGTTGTTGCAGGGTTGTCTTATGTTCTAGACCTTTCTTGGAATACACTGGTCTGCAAAGCGGGGGCCTCTCAGATAGACTTAGTTGAGATTCAAAATCTTCAGCCAACTCTGAAAGAGAAAATTCATGTTAGCTCTCAAGATTTCATTCCATCACTAATGAAATAGCCCTCAGAATCTGGTGAAATGAGTTTACTTGACCTTTTTAACCTTGATGTTTTAGAAAAACACCTTGAGAGGTTTCCCCATCGGCAAGTCTGAAATTTATCTTTGCCACAATTTTCTACCCCAGAGTTGTTACTTTTTTCAAGGTTGATTAACATTTCCTAGGTCTGCAGTAAACAAGGATGGTTTGATACTTTTTGGCTGTCTAGGCTGCAACTTGCTTTGTGATTGGTAAGAACCTTGCAGGGACTGGTCAATATATTATGCAAATGAGATGATTTGTGGATCGAGCAAGATGAAATTGTTAACAACCTCAATCTGTTATCTATCTATCTATCGTGGATACTGCCTATTGGCCCAGTGGTGAGGATCTTTGCTTTCCTGATGTTGAGATGCAAATCCATATTGAAAGTCCTTAATCCCATCATCAACCCTGATGGGATGTAAATGCAGTTTTCCAGTGGTGTGGTCTATATTTCCTTCTTTCTCATAACAGATTAAAGGAAAGAAAAGCCAGCAGAGAAGGGGGAGCCTCTGAAAAGAGCTTAAAGCAGAGCACATCCTTTGAATTCAGCCTGTGCTGGGAAACTAGTCAAACTTGCAGATACACAGAGAAACTCTTCCTCTAGAACTGGTACCCTGAATTTGGACTACTTGACTCCTAAATTGTAAGGGAATACATTTCTATTAATCAAGTGTGTGGTTAATACTGTAATTTGTTGTTATGTACCGTCGAGTCACCTGCGACTCATAGCGACCCTGTATACAATAGCCCTAACCTCTGCTCTATCCCTTGCCAATCTTATTCTCACCAACACACCTACCCCCATTACCTGTCACTGAATCAATCCATCTCATCGAGAATCTTCCTCTCCTGTACGGACTCCACCCTCCCAAGCATGACATCTCTCTCCAAGGACTGGTCCCTCCTTGAAACATGTACAAAGTATGTCAGACGAAGCTTCAGAATCCTTGCCTCCAAGGAGCAGCCTGACTTCACCCTGTCTAGGACAAACCTGTTCATTCTTTTAGCAGTCCATGGTATATTCAATACTCTTCTCCAGCACCACAGCTCAAAGGCATTAATTCTTTAATCATCCCTAGTCATTGCTCTGCTCTCTGATGCACAGCAAATGACTACAAAGACCATGGCCTGTATCAGGCATGCCTTAGTCTCCAGATTGACATCATTGCTCTTCAGTACTTTAGCGATGTCTCTAATTGCAATTTCCCATTGCAATATGTCTTTTAATTTCCTGGCTCCTGGTGCCAAGCAAACTAAAGCTGTTAACAATCTCAATCTCTTCACCATCCATGCTGATATTGCCAGTTGGCCCAGTGGTGAGAATCTCTGTTTTCTTGATATTGGGCCTCAATCCATACTGAGGCTGCGGTCCCTGACCTTCTGCAGCAAGCCCTTCAGGTCCTCCTCTGTTTCAGTAAGCAGGGTTGTGTCATCTGCGTAACGCAGATTGTTGATGAGTCTTCCTCCAATCCTGATGCCACATTTCTCCTCATAGAGCCCAGCTTCCCAGATAATCTGTTCTGCACATAGACTGAAAAGGTATGAAGATACATCCCTGGCGTACACTCTTCCCAATTTTGAACCATGCAGGGTTTCCTTGCTCTGTTCTGAAGACTGCCTCCTGGTCCAAGTATAGTTTTCACGTTAGAACAATCAAGTGTTCTGGAATGCCCATTCGACACTTTATCCCTCTTGATTATGCCAAGTTAATGGAAAATTAAGGGGGAAAATATATTTTTTAAATTCTACTATGTGTTCTTCCTTTTGTTTCGAAAGGAATTGGAAGACACAGAAGAATTTCATGAAACAACATATGAGCAAGAGCCTATGGTGATGAAAGAAGAAGTTCAGGCTGCTTTGAAGGAAATGGCAAAAAATAAGGCTCCAGGAATAGATGGTATACCAATTGACATATTTCAGTTAACAGATGCTGCCCTGGACGTGCTCACCAAGTTGTGCCAAGAAATCTGGAGAACAACCACTTGGTCAACTGACTGGAAGAGATAGATATTTATTCCTATCCCAAAGAAAGGTGACCCAACAGAATGTGGAAACTACAGAACAATCTCACTGATTTCACATGCAAGCACGATTTTACTGAAGATTATCCAAAGACGACTGGAACAGCACATCAACAGAGAACTACCAGAAGTCCAGGCTGGGTTTAGAAGGGGTTGTGGTACTAGGGATATTATAGCTGATGTTAGATGGATCTTGGCTGAAAGTAGGGAATACCAGAGGAATGTCTATCTGTGTTTCATTGATTATGCAAAGGCATTTGACTGTGTAGATCATAACAAACTATGGCTGACTCTGAGAAGAATGGGAATCACAGAACACTTGATCATTCTAATGCGAAACTTATACTTGGACCAGGAGGCAGTCGTCAGAACAGAGCAGGGTAACACTGCATGGCTCAAAATTGGAAAGGGCGTAGCCAAGGATGCATCCTATCTCCATACCTTTTCAACCTATATGCAAAACAGATTATCTGGAAGGCTGGGCTCTATGAGGAGAAATGTGGGGTCAAGATTGGTGGACGATTTATCAACAATCTGTGTTATGCAGATGACACAACCCTGCTTGCTGAAACTGAAGAAGACCTGAAGCACCTGCAGAGGGTCAAGGACTGCAGCCTACAATATGGATTGAGGCTCAATGTCAAGAAGACAAAGATTCTCACCACTGGACCAATTGGCAGCATCAGGATGGATGGTGAAGAGATTGAGATTGTACACAGCTTTAGTTTGCTTGGCTCCACAGTCAACAGTCTTAGCACCAGGAGCCAGGAAATTAAAAGGCGCATTGCCATGGGAAAGTCTGCTGTTAGGGACCTCTCCAAAGTACTGAAGAGCACTGGTGTCTCTCTGGAGACTAAGGTGCGTCTGATACAGGCCATGGTCTTCGCAATCACTTGTTATGCATCAGAGAGTTGGACAATGATCAAGGAGGATAGAAGGAAAATTGATGCCTTTGAGCTGTGGTGCTGGAGAAGAGTATTGAGAATACCATGGACTGCTAGGAAAACAAACAGATTCGTCCTGGAAAGGGTTAAACCGGGTGGCTCCTTGGAGGCAAGGATTCTGAGGCTCCGTCTAACATACTTTGGACATGTTGTGAGGAGAGACCGGGCCTTAGAGAGGGTCATCATGCTTGGGAGGGTGGATGGACAGCGCAGGAGAGGAAGGCCCTCTATGAGGTGGATTGATTCAGTGACTGGGATAATTGGGATGGGAGTTGTCAGAGACAGTGCGATTGGCACAGGACAGAGCAAGTTTAGGGCTGTTGTACATAGGGTTGCTATGAGTCGCAAGCGACTCGACAGCACATAACAACAACAACAACAACAACTATGTATTCTATACCACTGCACACATACCTCCACTAACCTCAACAGTTCATCTCAACAGTACTGGTTTTGTCTCCTTGAGGTGCTCTCATGCTAACTAAAACACAGATGACTGTTACTATGATGTTCTAGCAAGTTCCAATTAGAATCCAATTAGTGCCATTGACTTTATTCTAACTCTTAGCAACCCCTCCATTTGGTCTGCCCATCTTTCTCCGGAGAACAGCAGTTCGTATATTTGAACTACTGACATTTCAGTTAGTAGCCCAATACACTATGTCACAAGGATTCCCAATCACAGAATTTTAAATAATAAATAACTAACCAAAGAAGCCATTAATTCTAAATTATTCCTTTACTTCTTTGTGGGATGTAATCATTCACAATGTATCCGGTTTGGGCTTTTTTTACTTAATTGATATCATATATGAAAAACATGAAAATGTCAAAAAAGTGCATTTCAGTAGATGTGAGGAACTCAGCATTACAGAGAATAAAGAAGGAAGTGTAGTGAGTGTGAAATAACTCAGTTACAAAAGGACTCGTGGCAAGGAGCTGAGCTGCAATCCCAAAGCACACAGTTTGAGGCCACCAGCTGTTCTATGGGAGAAGACATGAGCAATCTTCGCCAGTGCAATTAACTCCCTCGGAAAACCAGCTGTAAGTCAGTTCTGACTCAATGGCACACAACAACAACAACAACAATTATGAAAATAGGAGGATAACCTAACAAGGCATGTATGACAGTTCAAAATGGGCAGAGAAGAAGAGGAGCAGAAAAAGGGGAAGGTGAGAAATCACTAGGAGAGCAGAAGATGGGAGCATGTGAAGGAGTAGGAAAGAGACTATGCAAAACACCATGTATATAAATTAAAAAAAGAAAGATGTGTAGATGTAAAAAAGAGTGAAAAGGAAGAGCTTTCTCCCTCTTACCATGGTCTGTGTCCATCATTCTGTCTATCCATTCCTCAGGTGTCAGGCTGCACACTTGCCCATCCTTTATCATCCATGAACTTGGAGCTTCTGAGAACACTGCACAACAGAATGGCTTCACTTTTATTACACAGAGATAACTATACAACTCGTTCATGTTCAGCACATCTATGACTTTGGACTCGGCATACATCTGTGGAGCAGCTGAAGAGCAGAAATGAACAACAGGCAGCTTGGAAATGGTTTCTTTCATTACACGTTTCAAAGAGTCCCGGTCAACATTTTCTATTCTACATCCCAAGACTTTCTTACTTGTATCATGCACACCAATGAAAAGATATCCTCCCTTACTGTTTGCAAATGCAGAGACATACTTCGGGATTGTACTTTTTATGTACTTTTCTATGTTTTTTGTAGAGAACTCTTTAAATTCTATGTTCTGAGACTCAGGAAAGGGTAGGATGGTTTCATATTCAAGCTCATCACTTTGGAACACCTGTTCAGCAAGATCCGGATGACGAATGTTCTGAGGCACAACCTTGTGAATTTTACTATGCGGAAAGCCTTCATCAATCAGATCACTTGCACCTCTTTTCTTGACTTTCAGGAAATGGAATGCTTCTGTTGATTTAATCTGAAACACCGAGGTGCCAGATTTCTGGTACAGTGAAGTATACAGGCTGCAAATCCGGGGCTTGGTGGGACCATCTTCCAGGGAAAGGTCACTGTTCCAGGACTTGACAAAAATGGAAAAACATCTTCCTTGTTGCTTAGTCTCGAAAAAGGCCTCCAAGTCTAAAGACTTAATGAGATCTCTCAGAGCTTCTTCTAAATCCAGTCCCATCTCCAGTAGACGATCTTCCTTGTTTGCCATTTGCATCTGAATCACTCCTCCTCCTGAGTTTAATAAAGCGCACGCAGCCTGTGCAATTTTCTCTCTCTCTTTCTGAATTTTCTTCCCCTGTGTCTTCTGTAGGGTCTTTCTGTTCTCTTCACCCAAAGTCACTTCTCCTACATTGATGACCAGGTCTGGGTGAGATGATTCCATTATCAGAGAGCAACAATTTGTTTCCATGCTGATCCTGTTCCTGAAAGAATTGGAACATTTGTTTCAGTTAAGAGTTGCTCTTTGCCACCACAACAAGACAAAGGTAAACAATCCAATTGAAAAATGGGCACTGGATATGAACTGACACTTCATCAAAGAAGACATTCAGATGGCCAACAAGCACATAAAGAAATGTTCAAAATTCCTAGCTCTAAGTGAGATGCAAATCAAAACAAATATGAGATATCATCTCAGCCCAGTAGGAGTGGCAAAATTTAACAGAACAGCAAGCAACAAATGCTGGCGAGGCTGTGGAGAAACTGGAACCCTTATTCACTGTTGGTGGGAGTGTAAGATGGTGCAACCACTGTGGAAGGCAGTGTGGCACTTTCTCAAAAAGTTGCAAATAGAGATACCATTTGATCCAGCAATTCCAGAACTGGGAATATACCCCAAAGAGACCATGCACACACATGTTGTGGCTTTGTTCACAATAGCAAGGAGTTGGAAACAACCTAAGTGACCATCAACAAACTAATGGATAAAGAAGCTGTGGTATATTCACATAATGGAGTAATACACTGCATTGAAAAACAAGGAACTCATGCAATATTATTCAAAATGGGTGACTCTGGAGAACATAATGCTGAGTGAAATATCTCAGTCACAAAAAGGACAAATACTGCATAGTGCCACTGTTGTAAAACAAGACTGACAATTAGGGGGAGACTGAGAAAGATAGGATAAATAATATTTACTGCATTGAAATAGATAAGGGAGAAAACTATTTAAAAGAGAGATGTGATTATGTATTATTGTAATGACAGGAGTACAGAATAAAGTCTGCATAGTGGGGTGGACCTGGTGCAGAGTGAGGGGGAAGAGGGATTGTAAAACAATGAGGGAGTTTTTCTTTTACTTTTCAAAGCGAAGAATGTACTGGGGGGGAGGGGGGAGGCAGGGAGAAGGGTGCAACAATGAATGAATAGAAAAAAAAAGAATTGCTCTTCATACACAATTAGTGAGTTCATTTAAGACGAAAATGTGTGCTTAGAGAAAACAATAGACTAGTGAGCAAGGCTAGAACAGTCTTTCTCTCTAGAACTTACTGTATACGGGAGACAAAAATGGGGTTAATAAAATGAGACATTTTATTCATGGCAAGAAAAGACTTGAAGCCTTTTTAACGATTTAAAAGCTGTACATGCAGCAAGTAAAGGTTAGAAGAATTCTTGTGAATACAAGTTGGTTCTAAGGTAGAATAGAGTCCATGGGCTGCCTTTTTAAGGTTAAGTAAGGCACAAGACAAGAATAATGGTATTTTTTTTCTAAAAATTAAACTAGTTTGTTTACAAAGTTCATATACATTGTGTTTCACACTATTTTTCACTCATATTGTGTTTCATACAATCATTCCCATGCATTATGTTTTATAAATTTAATCACCATTGGACCTTTCTCATCATTACCCTGTCTTTTCAGGTCCCTGCCATATTCTTCCCATTTCCTTCATTCCCTCCCTCCACCTACCAACATAATAGTATTTTTCTTTTCTTTTGTACTGACAAGTGTCTATGTTCACATACTTTCTCCACATTCTGTTTTCATCCTGAGAAGTTGCAACCAGTTTATTGTAGCATGCACAGAAAAATCATTCATGACCAAAAGCTGAACTACTTTGAACAAACCAACTGCTTGGGGAAGGATTTGAAACACAGGACACTGCTATGGTGCCTGGGTGCCACTCCATAATAAGTTATGTCTCTCAACCCAGAGGCCTCTGTGGCAAAATATTGAAGGGTTAGCTGCATGCAAATTCAATTATCAAAATTCCACAGTGATGTCATCCTACAACTAATTTGGTCTTTGATCCATGCACTGATATTCAATGCACCAAATCTATTCTTAAGGTGACTTTTGAATTCAAGTGAGATAGACTCAAGGTAAGATTCTAAGAAAGGTGTTTGTCAGGGCTGTATCTTTTCTCTATATCTATTCAATGCTGAGCAGATTATTCAAGAAGCTGGTCTATTTGAAAAAAAGATGTGGTATCAAGATTGGAAGAAGACTCACCAACAACTTGAGTTATGCAGATGACACAACACTGCACGCCAGTGAAGAGGACTTGAAACACTGCAGAAAATCAGAGATAACAGTATGGATTACAAATCCTCAAAAAACCAAAAATTCTCATCACTGGACCTATAGGCAACATCATGATTGATGGAAAAGAGAATAAAATTGTCAAAGATTTCCCCCCCCCACTTGAATCTACAATCAACACCCATGGAAACAGCAGTCAAAAATCAAAAGACATTTTGCATTGGGAAAATGTACTGTTAAGGATCTCTCCAAATTGATAAAGAGCAATAAGCTTGGGCATGGAGGAGGCTGTGAGAATGAAGCAGGATAGAGTAACATTCAAATCTGCTGTTTAATGGGTTACCTTGACATTATGCAAAGTGAACTAACTCAGTCTCATAAAGGCAAATGCTGTATAAGACAATTATTGTAGAATGAATATTAAGGATCCAAAGGGGAGAGTGGGCTTAATCATCGGGTCACACAATTCAACAGATGGAGGGAGGGATGGGTAAGGGAAAGGGAAAAGGTCTGGTGTGAAAAACAATGTATATGAACTTTATAAGTAAACCAGAAAAAAATTTAAAAAAACTAAAAAAATAGTATAAAGATAAGGCATATTAAAAGTTTATAAAGAATACTATGCTGCATTGAAGAACAAGGAACTCATGCAATATTATTCAAAATGGGTGACCCTGGAGGACATTATGCTGAGTGAAGTATCTCAGTCACAAAGGGACAAATGC